GGATAACCATGTTGTTGATAATCGCCAGGTGTTGGAGTTGGTACAGGCATTGGCATACTATCAGTTTGTTCCTGTTCAGGTATTCCACCAAATTGTCCAGAATAATGTTGCTGCTGTGAGTAATTACCCGTCATACTATCACCCGAAGATGGACGTAAAATTGGCTGAGAACTACTAACGCTGTAATATGACGGATGTTGACTTTGTGATGGAGATGAAGGTCTTGGAGGAACGCCTCCATATGAAGCTTGTTGTCCTGGTGGAGGAGATGGTCGACTAGTATAATATTGGTTGTATCGATCAGGGGGAGGAGAAGATGGTATACCAGCACCAAAGTATTGTCCAGGTTGGCCACTACCGTATAGAGGTACAGTGGGTAAAGTAGGCTGAACCACTTCTGTGTTTGCTTCAGTCGTAGATATAGGTGGAGGAGGGATATATTGATCATGATCCAGATCAGGAGGAGGAGCGCTATCCAATTTTGGGTGACTTGAGCTTTTACGCCAAAATAGCCAAAGACCTACACCTATCAACATTATACCGACCAAACCTACAATTACCCCAATTAGAACTCTTTTTGCTGTACCAGCAGTTGTGTCTGGTTGTAAAACTGGACTATAAACCATTTTTTTTAAATGATGAAAATTTTGAGAATATAAATTATGAAATAAAGATAAAATAATAAAGATATGAATAATAAAAGAAAATAGTCAATCAAACCTAACAGCAGTAAACGGTACACCCAATTTAGTACATGCAGACTTATAATCATTCAAATTAGCGATAGAAACGTTCCCAATATTATTAACATTATAACAAGCTAAACATTGTGTAAGATTTGTATAATATTGTTGATTACACTGACAATTAGCTAATCTTTTATCTTAAAAAAATAAGTAAACGATCAATTAAAGTTTTGAAATATTATTTACGTAACGAAAATAAAAAAAAATTGCACTAACCAGTTACTACCAAAACGGTAGAAGTATTATTTAACGTATTAGTTGGTATTACTAGTGTCCCACCACAAATGCTTAATGATTTATTAGCCATGAGGCAAGGATCATTTATTGGGTTACCACAATTATTAGTATTATTACTCTGACCAAGGACGGTCGAGTATCCCAAAAGTATTAAACATATTAAAATGAACGGTTTGAATGATAGCATCTTGAAAATATTAATAAAGATTATTAAAGAAAAAATAAATAAAAATTAATAAATGTATTTAAACAATCAATTACTCTTTTAATACTGTAATAGAATTGCAAAATAAAAAAATACCTTTTATAACTTTTAGCCAATCGAAGTCATTAAAAAAAAAAAAAACTAGCAATGTCAAAATTTGTATTTTGCGGTCAAGCGAAAGGAAAATAATTTTTCGGGTGTAGGACAAAATTCAACTAAACACAATTTATACATATCACAAAATTATGATATCATTGAACGGTTTGCAGAAAGAGTTAGTGTCAGACGATGTTGAAATTCGTACAGGACATACATTAGGTGACACAACCATCCATAATGAGTAAACAAACTCTTACTTCGATACTTCTTTAGCTTAGTTAATGTAATTAATAGGTTTCTTTGGAAAAGAAATAAAATTTGAGCATTTAAAACGACCATTGTTGTAAATTCAATCATAAGTACGTACATGTGAACGTACGTACGTACGTACGTACCTGCTTAAAAGAAAATTCTCTGCTAGTGGTTAAAATGTGACTACATTCATCTTTATAGTCACTGATTTATATACGTTCATGATTGATTACCTGATTTTTTTCTTGAAGGTATAAATCTCTTTTTTTTTTTTTTTTGAGAACATCTTATTATATTTATTTCTAAAAGTTTATCGGATAGTTCTTAATTCACAATTGCAACAGAGTACAAAAGGTAAGGTATACATTTTTAGCCAGCGAGGCTTCCACCTTATGATATTCTATTATTTTTTGTAAGGCTCGAAATTGATCCTTGGCATCTTAAGTATAAAAAAAAAAACTATAAAAAGCGATCATTTATCTGTGGCTCAGATATATAATACTGTATTGCTTATTTGATCGATCGGCCAATATATACTAAGCCTCACGGCCATCGCCGCGCAAAAGCCTCGACAAATCTCGTGATTATGTTATTGTTTTCGGAATTTAAATGCGGATCAAAATATACTAATTTATGCAGTTTTTTTTGACTTAACTCGGTATTGATTTCATAGAAATTTCCTGATTCGTCAATACTTATGAATTTATTTATGATTACATTACGCATAATTGTATATTTTGTGAATAACGAACGGTAAGTATAAAGTCATTAATTAATTAGTGCACTTTTTGAATGAATTTAATCTTACGAATCTCGCATACTGTATTGCCATTTTAAAAAGAAATACAATAACGATATCGAAAAAGACCGATCCTCCATTGTTATTACTGTCACATAATAATTAAATTTGGTAAGTAAGTTTTAAAAATAGATATATGTGAAGCAATACACAATATCTTGCACAATATCTATCGGAATTTCAGGTTTATTAAGACAAAACTTCGGCGTAATTTTAAGTGGTCGGAAGCTTTTTCGTTCATTTAACAAATTTCATTGACCGAGTTTTTTAAATTTAACTTAAAATGACGTAGCGACAGGTGTGCAAATTTCCGGGTATGTAATGTTTTTTTTTTTGGCAATGTTTTTTTTTTTTTAACCGGGACATAGATGCTACTGGGGTAGATTGTGCACTCATCACATGAATTGTAGAATTAACTAACGCTAAAGTGGTACAAAGTTTTTTTTTGTTTGGTGCTAAAGTGCGCCAAAATTTCAAATTTATTCATATATACCAAAAATCATTTTAATTGGATAAAAGTTTTTTTTAATAAAATTATTTTTTTTATAATAAATTCCAGTTTTTTACTATTTTTTAATAGTTTTATATATAACTTTGGTATTTGAAGGTTTTAAAAAAATTTTAACCAATAAATTATTTTTTAAAAAAAATCTTAGTAAATTTGATGAGAAATGAAGTATGAACCATAGTTATGATGTTTGGTCATATCGATATAAGCAATTTTTAGCATTATTTGCAGAACGCATTAAGTATACTGTGGCACAGAATTTTCTGTACGTATTAACAAATTTTTTTTTTTGGCTAAACATTAACAAATATATCAATTTATGATGGTGATAGCTTTCTCGTGATAGCCAATCACAAGATGTTTTATGCGCAACTATACGTATAGAAGAAAAAAATATTAACCACTTTTTGTTAACGGATTTTTGAATAAACTTCATTTTTTTTGTTATTACCAACTTGTATATACTTTTTTTGTCTTTTACCTATATTTTTTTTTAATAAATCGTGTTATGGATTATTGCTACATGGTTCGATGCACACAATATCGATCGCTTAGTACGTATTATGCTTCATCTCTGGTAGTACTATTTTTCGATCAAAAATTTTTATAATAAGTAGAGTATAGGGGGCATAACACCCCTAGCGCATCTATAAAAATGTTCCCTCCCGTGATTTTTTACCATTCAAATATCAAAATCAGGTATGAAAAATTTTTGTCAAAATTGTTAATATTAAAAATTAATTTCACCAATTTCAACATCAAATAATTTAAAAATTAATTTATAATACAGTATATTAAAAATTAATTAAAACTAAACTAAAAATATTGAAATTATTGTTGAAAATAAAAATGAAATAAATTTCACCACCATCCACAGGTGTAACGTAAACAATTGAAGCGAAACCATTTTTTTATAAAAAAACAAAAATAACTCGAAATTTTAATTAAGAAACCACATTCTGCGGCCTAATTAAAAATGCTTCTCGTGAATTTAACTAATAGAGACTCTAATATTATAACCCTAACCCTAACCGAAACTACACCGTTGTTTTATTTTCAGTAAAAATTACGGGGCGCGCTACCTAAAATATAGAGCCATAATCAGGCCGAATTTTTTTCAGAAAGCCTGAAATTTTCTAAAGCACCTTTTCTAAAAAAATTGAATAAGCTAGATTAGTAATATCAATGTATGCTTAAATTATTTTTAGAAATAATTCTGGCAAAAATTTTGGCTCATTGCAGACATTGGACATTATGTTATTTGATTATGAATCAATCACCAATAACTTCTAATTAAAGTATATTGATTTGGTTATTGTTACGAATAAGCTGTAAATAGATCATTAAATAACATACGAACGCCACTACTAAAAATTTTATATGACGTGGAGTAGCTACCTCTGATCTTCTGACCTGTGACTATATCTTTTGACTATAGTTACGAACCGAATTGAAGTTGGAAAGAATGAAAATAATCATTAATTATCAAGCTAGCATTTATTATTATTCAAGAGTTGAAGTTAAACAAATAATTCGTAAGTTATCAGAAATTAGCTGAGACAATAAATATAAGGAACTTTACATGACTATCATTTTTTTTTTTACAGTTCCTAGATCGCTATATCAGTGGAAAATTGCTAAATAATTG